CACCTGCTGAGTACTTACTGGGCTCTGACCGTGCTATCACCTAACCCCCACCACAACCTTCTGAGCTAATCGCCAGCCCTTCCACACACGAGCAAACTGAAGCTCTCGGATCACCTCGCTTGCACGGCTAAAGCAGCAAGGCTGGCCGAAGCCAGAGGTGGCTCTTCTGCCCCCAGGAACCTAGGCCGATCCAGGAAGGTAGAAAGTTGCAGGAAAAGGAGGTGAAATGGAAGATTCTGCTCCATGAAAGGATTCCCACCATGCAGCAACCACGAAGCAACTTTAAGAGCAGGGCACTTCCAAAGTCTTTAAACTTTCTAGACCTCTGCTTTGGCAGAAGGAGGGTGGGCCTGCTGGTCCAGCTCCAGAGCTCTGGCCCTCCATCCTCAAGACTCTCCCAGGATCCGGCCTTCCCTTCCAGCCTTCTCACCCAACGCCCCCACCCCCCACGCTAACCCTGGGCTGAGCACAGAACGGGCTGCCCCCGACACCTCCCAGGCAGAGAGGCTGCAAAGATTAAGAAGGAAAAGATAACATGATGTGCCTGTGCTCAGCACTTGCTCACAGGAACTCAGCAATCGCCGGCTCAGAGAGTTCCGGAATGGTGGCCCAAAACAGAAACACTGAGATAAGAATAAGAAGAAATACTAAGAAATACAAAGACAAGAAAATGATAAACCAAGAACTTCAAAACTGAATTAACACTACAATCTACCAGAAGCAAGATACCAAACGGCCAAGTACCCGTTCCTTCCCAGACACACAAATACTGACAGAGGATTAAACAGTCAAGCGTTTGTCTGAAGCAGCCTACGCACACGTATGGCTATTCTCCTTCCCCTTTTCTGAGTTTTTAAAAACTACTTTGTAATGAAATTATAAGAAATGTTTATAATGAAAAGCTCTACCCTCATTTTTAAACTGAAGTCACAATTTAAAATGACAATTTATATTTTTATTGAATAGTTTAGGATGTTAACATTCAAATCCTTGTAGAACTGAATTTCTCTCTCTCTCTCTCTCTCACACACACATACACACACACACACGCCAACAATACATGCTGGTCTGAAAGGCAACTGACCTAACAATCATTCAGGCAACTAAAAATTAGCGCTCTGAATCAGAACACAATTCCAGGAAGGAAAAGGTTTAAAGATGTCCCAGCAGCAAGAAAAGAAAACCCCAGACAAGTACTAATGACAGTTTACTTTTACCAAACAGCTTATCAAGTGATCTGTGTAAATACTGCAAATGTTACAAAACCATTCAAAAATCCCAACATTATTTTTACAGATTAAAAATGAATAAAGGCCAAAAACAACACCAATAATTCAATTAAAATAACTCATGCTTGTGTTTACATAAAATTTGATGAGTATAATATATTCGTCACACCACTGCAATTATTCTCTGAAAATAATACTCTAAATATTATTTTGACAATGTAATTACAGTTTTTACCTCAAGAGTGGTAACAAAACGCTGGCACAGATATGCTGCTAAAAATCCACCAAGAATAAGGTTCTCACAGAGAAATAGTCACAACACAGTATGGGTACTTTATTAAGAACCAGAGTGCTTTTATAAGGCTTGTATTAGGCTTGAACTAATTAAACTATAAAATTTTTTTAAGTTTCATTGTTGAATCCAAATTTCACTGTGGAATTCCAAATTCAGGAACACCGTGGACCGCCCTCTTTAAGAAAGAGAGAAACACTATTTAACTTCCATTTCCCTCCTCGCCTCGGTAACATCCTTCCAGTTCTGCCTACAGGCACACATCATCTACATAAAGCCAACACAACTGGAAAGTAAAGACCTAAATCAGGGGAGAGATGGCCCATGTTCATGGACTAGAAGACTCCGTATCGCTAAGTTGGCAAGTCTCACCAAACGGATCTACAGATTCCACCTAACTGCTAGTATGCACGACATAGACATACTCTTAAAAAATCAACAACAGGGGGCGCCTGGGTGGCTCAGTGGGTTAAGCCTCTGCCTTCAGCTCAGGTCATGATCTCAGGGTCCTAGGATGGAGCCCCGCATCGGGCTCTCTGCTCAGCAGGGAGCCTGCTTCCTCCTCTCTCTCTGCCTGCGACTCTGCCTACTTATGATCTCTCTCTCTCTGTCAAATAAATAAATAAAAATCTAAAAAAAAAAAAAATCAACAACAGGAGGGGCATCTGGGTGGCTCAGTGGGTTAAAGCCTCTGCCTTTGGCTCAGGTCATGATCCCGGTGTCCTGGGATCGAGCACCGCATCGGGCTCTCTGCTCCACAGAGAGCCTGCTTCCTCGCCTCTCTCTCTCTGCCTGCCTCTCTGCCTACTGTGATCTCTGTATGTCAAGTAAATAAAAAAAATTTTTTTTAATTTAAAAAAAATTAAAAATCAACAATGGGGGCGCCTGGATGGCTCAGTGAGTGAAGCATCTCCCTCTGGCTCAGGTAATGATCTCCGCATCCTGGCATGGAGCCCAGAGTCAGGCTCAGCAGGGAGTCTGCTTCTTCCCCTTTTCCTCTGCCCCTGCTCACACACACTCTCCCTCTCTCCAAAATAAATAAATAAATCTTTAAAAACCACAAAAAGACAAAGAGCCCAATTAAAAACTGGGCAAAGACCTTGACATTTCCCCCAAAGGAGATTTACAAATGGCCAAAACAAGCACATAAGAAGATGTTCAGTATCATTAATCATGAGGAAAACACAAATCAGAACCACCATGAGATGCCACTTCGCAACCATCGGGATGACTACGACCCCCCAAAAAGGAAAATGAACACAGGCAAGGACGTGGAGAAATGGGAATACTGTACACTGTTGGTAAAAATGTAAAATAGCACAGGTGCGGAGAAAAGTCTGGTTCCTTAACAATTTAAATAGGAAGTGGACCCACAATTCCACTGCTGGAATTGCTGAAGGACAGAAAGCCCATACACCGATTAGTATGTCCACAGGCCCACTCAGAGCAGCGCTGGTCTGGACGGCCCAACAGCAGCGCCACAGCCAAATGGCGGAAACCACCCAAACGGCCACCAGTGAACAGATTCATAAAATGTGGTCCATGCACACAACCGAGTCTTATTCGGTCGCCACCTAAATGAGGTACTGGTACCTGCTACAACATGCAAACACTCGGGAACACATCCTGCTTCCTGAAAGAGGCCAGACACACAAGTCCCCTGACTCTCTGATTCCACTTCCACGAGAAACCCAGAACCAATAAATCCAGAGACAGACGCAGGAGAGGGGAGAGCGGAAAGCAGCTGCTCAGTGGGGAGAGGATTTCCTCTCGGAACCGTGGAAGTACGTGCAGTTAGATGTGGTGGCTGCACAGCCCTGCGAACGCTCTCCAGGCCCCTCAGCTGTTCCCTTTAAAGAGGTTACTTGTTGGCTGCGTGAATGTCAGGTCAGTAAAAGGCAGATTCCTTAATTAAACTAACACACCACAGCTGCCAAAACCGTAAACCGTTCCAAACACACCAACACAACACAACACACCAACACAACACAACACAACACAGGTGTATGAAGACGTGCCCTCTGGCTGGTACCAATCAGTGAAAAGCCAGGCCGCCAACCACACAACCAATTTCTCTACTACTGACAAACTGGGTCCTAAAAAGTGTCAGAAATCACCTCCTTTAGGTTTTCTGTTAGATTATGGACTTGCCTCAGTGAAGAGAGAACTGATCCTGTGAAACACTGTTTTATCCCATAAACGTCACACAAGTCTTCTGCGGCCGATCAGTGATGGAACAGAGCAGCCCACAGCCTCCAGGAAGACAGGAGGGCACATGATGTGCAATGGAAGGATGGGGAGCCCAGGGATGGGGCGATTTCGGGAGACACGGTGCTCGTGGGCACACAGGGATAGGCTTCAGCGCGCCAGAGGAGGGCTGGCCCGCTTTGATGGCCCTTGAATCACTGCGTCCGTCTGGTGCTTCCTCTCAGGTGTCTCATTCAGAAATACTTCGTGGCCAGGGAAACCCACTTCTGTCCACCACGGGACACACTATCCATCACATCAGCACTTTTCAGTCATTATAAAATGCACTACATTCTGAACTCTCCTTCTGAATGACCATACCACACACAGACTTCAAGAAGAGCTGCCTTTCCATGCAACAGGGAAATCTGGACCAGACCTTATTGCTGATTTTTCATCCCCCAATTTGAGCACAGAGGCTTCTGGTGTATCATAAAATAGAGCTACAAAAAGATCTTTTAATATGTAACATCTTAAAAACACTTTCCTACGAAACCCTACACCCTACCGGTTTCTTGACAATACCTGAGAAATTACTGCTGCCCAAAAAAACAGAGAGCAAACACTTAGTGTGCAGGGGTGCGGATGATGCGGAAGACAGATTCCTGTCTGCTCTGCTCAGCGTCCGGATCACAGCCGGCACCGAGGACAGGCATGCCACGTCCACACGAGACACTGTATGACTACGCGATGGCCGGCCTAACAAAGCACCAGACTGGCCGGTGTAAACAATGGATTTATCTTCTCAGAGAAGGAGGCTCAACAACCACGATCAAGGTATGGGAAGGGCTGGTTCCTTCCGAGCCCCCTTCCTGGGCTTGCAGATGATGGTCCTCTCGCCACGTCCTCGCGTGGTCATCCCTCTGTGTGTGTCTGTGTCCTGACCTCCTCTTCTTACAAGGACCCCAGCCATCACGGATTAGGGCCCGCCGGGAGGACTCCATTCTACTGTATTTATCTCTTTCATGGCCCGGTCTCCAAACAGTCACATCCCCAAGTGGCAGGAGTCAGGACTCCACCGTATAGAACTGGGGGAGAGTCCGGGAGCACAATTCAGCCCACAACAGAGTGAGGAAAGGAAGCTGTGACGACTTCTTTTATGATCACTCACTAACATCACCAAATAAGTTTCTCTGTATCATGAAATACAAAACATTTGCTTTAACTCCAAGTTGTGGATTTTAAATCCTTTCCAAAGGTCTGAGAAACCCATGAACCCCACGGCAAGTTACCTGTCAACAGGGACTCCTGCTCCACCCGTAGCTCACGAAAAAGAAAAATCAGATCAACAGCCACGCCAACTGTATCCAAGTTCCTGTAGGAGATTTTTTAAAAAGACAGAGTCAGACCCATTAGTTTTCTTAGGCCTGCGTTTCAAATGATGATCCAGGGAACAGAGCTGCAAACCTTCCACATCATAATCTCATAACCTGTCGACGTGTTACCCCCCAAGGCAAAGGGGACCTTAGGGCTGTGAGTAGATTCAGGATCTTGAGACGGAAAGATCACCCTGGATTAGCCAGGTGGGCCCAATATGGTCTCAAGCACCTTAAAAGAGGAATACAAGAGGGTGTCAGAGTTGGGGAAGGGGACATGAGCCCAGAAATGCCAGCGGCTCCTAGACGCTTCTAGAAAAGGCCAGGAAATGGATTTTCCCCAAGAGCCTCCAGAGGGAACTCGGCCATGGTGACCCATTCCGGCCTTCTGAATTCCTGAACCAAAAGATAACAAATCTGTGTTGTTTGAAGCCACGAAGTGCTGGGTAACGCGTCACAGCAGCAGGAGGAAAGCAACCAGATTTGGGGAAGCAGACGCGGTGGTGCTCGTATAAACACCTGCACACGTGGGAGCAGCTCTGGAATCTGGCAGGGAGCAGGGGCCAGAAGAACACTGAGCAGCCTTGGAAACGCTAGAAGCTTTTACAGACTCCTGGTGGGCACGTGGATGCCGAAGGCTCAGAAGTAAGGAACCGATCCCTGGAAACCGGGGAAAGGGGACCCTTTTCCCACAGGGGCAGAAGCTCAGCAAAATGATGAACTTGGACGTTTAGCTGAGCATGTCTCCAGTGCCCCACGACGAAGGTGGGACCTGAGTGCTTCCTGCTGCACCTAACAGAAGGCCAAGGGGAGAGCAAAAGGAGATGAAGAGAGAACCAGGTCTTGCTTCGGGGAATTCTCAGTCTAGCCAGATGGCAAAAGACACTAAAACTGGGACAATCGGTGGCAAGAGAGCGTGCTCTGCCAAGAAAGCCAAGGGGTTAGCTGGACAAGCTTCTGCTCCTGCCTGGGAAGGATCAGAAGGTCAGTGTTGAGTCCCAGGTGAGGAGGGGCTCTTTGAGCAGATTCGGGTGGGACTCTCTCCCTTCTATCACCTCAGCAGAACCCAGGAATAGAGATGGGGTTATCGAAGAAACCTCTATGCAGGACCCTCTTGTCTAATGACGGGAATCCCCATGGCAAACACACGAGACCCACAAGGTTGTTGAAAATGTTTTACCGAGAGAAGAAAGTCTGGCAGCTTGGACGAAAGGCACAGAGAAAGGACGAAATTTAAAAAAAAAAAAAAAAAAAAGTGTCAGACTCCCAAAATTCTACCGGCAGGAAGTAGGCTGACAGAATGACTCAGGTGCAAACACATGCTCCCTTGGGGAAAAAAGAAGGCTGACTCTGAGGGCAGGGCCAAGGGCACAGCCTAAAGCCACAGACGACTCTTCCCAGGCCTGGAAACCGAACTGAGTTTTCTGCCAGACAGGATTCTGAAACTGCTTTGCTCGGGATCAGTGATTCCTCTTTTCCGTCTATTTTCTCCTCTTTCAAAGAATAATGTCCAAAACAGTTATCCTAGGCCTGCCCCAAACTGCATTTGGGGAGCAGAGAACCTGTCCAGTTTCACAGGCGCACCAATACAGTGGAATTCTACCCCAGGATGATGTGCTCCATCCAGAACCTGACGTGTGAGTAATTGAGATAACTGGGTAATGCAATTCGGGACTTTTAGCTGATGAGACTTAGATGAGATTCTGGACTCCAGCTGATGTTGTCGGGGTCAAAAATGTGGGGCACTGGGAAGGGCTGAAGGCATTCTGCATACGGACTCTCTAGGGGCTCCAGGGTGGACCGTGGTGGGGAGAATGGCCCCCGAAAGATGTCCACTCCCTCAACTCTGGAACCTGTAATTATGCTCTCTTATATGGCCAAAGAGATGTGGCATATTAAGAAATATGTTTTTGGTCTTTGTCCCACGTTCCTAGCAAAAAGCGCCTAAAACCCTTGGAATTTCCAGCATGATAAGGAGTTTTTTTGATATTTACAACAAGCCCCTTTCAACCACAAGTGGGTTTATCCTGATAAGGCGGCTCTAATGGGGCCTCCACGTAGCCTCACAGTGGGGCTGGCTGTCCCCCAGAGGGACCAACCAAGTGATTATGGGACTGTAACTTTCAGCCCCAACCTCCAGACCTCTGGGGAGGAGAAAGGTCTAGAGACTGAGTTCCATCACCAACAGACAACGATTTTCCCAATCAAGCCTATGTGACGGAACCTTCATAAAGACCCCCACGAAATGACAAGTTTGGAAAACTTCTCTGTGGACTAGTGAACACATCAGAGGGAGCAAGACCGCCCTGCAGCGACCCACTTGCCCTACGTAGCTCCTCTCTTTGGCTATCCCGAAGTTGTGTCCTTCACAGGAAACTGGTAACCCTATGGCAAGTGCTTCCCTGGGTCCTGGGAGCCGTTGTACCAAACCCGAGGGGCGTCACGGGAACCTCGGAACTTGTCAGCTAGGCAGAAATGGCAACCGGTTTGCATCTCAGTGGGGCTATCTTATGGGACCGAGTCTTTTACATTATGGGATCTGATGGCACGGATTCCAGGCGGGTGGTGTCAGAACGGAAATGAGTCTAGACCCACAGCTGCTGTTGAATCAAAGTTGGTCAAAAAATATGAGAAGAGACTTTTTAGGTATGATTACTGGTTCTGAGAGGGGGAGATTATCCTAGATTACTGGCGTGGGCATCATGTAATCCTAAGAGTCCTTATCTGGGGGTGCAGGATGGTGGGAATGGCAAAGGGACTGGAAGATTCTCTGGTGTTGCTTGGAGGATGGGAGGACAGAGCCACGAACAAGGACACAGGCAGGCTGCAGAAGGCAGAAAAATAAGAGAACGGATTCTCTGCTAGAGAATGTCTACTACCAACCCCACTGGTTCTCACTGATCTTGGACTTCTGACTCAGAAAGAGAAGATAAGAAAGATTTGGTGTTTGAGCAAACCGCCAACTCTGCAGCAATCTGTTCCAGCAGTAAAGGACACCGACGGCTCCCTGCCTTCACTTCCCCAGGAGAAGCAGAAGGAAGCCACGACACTCACTCCTTAAAGAACAAGAGGGTCCGGGTCCTGTCTTCCCTCCCCACAGCCGAAGAGCAGCTCAGTGCCTACCTCCCAGAGGAGGATGGTGCTTGCTTGGATGGCCCTGCCAGAAGACAGCTGGTATCTCATCTGCCACGCTATTTTTCCTTGCAGTGCTTGAATTTTTATAGTTTGCTTATTACTTGTATAGTCAGGAAAAGCAAATAGAAATAAACTGCAAAGGAAGTTGTATTATCGTATACTTCGAGTGCGCTAGCATTCCTGAGGGCAAAACCAGGCCACCGGGGGACCCGGGCAGAGCGGAGGAGGCAAGAGGCGTGAAGCAATCTCATTTGAGACACCCACAGCCCTGGGTGGGAGATACTGCTTGCCCTGACTTCCAGAGGGGAAGACCGGTGCTCATGAAGGTCAAGGTCCCGATATAGGGTCCCGTGGCTGTTCAAGGGACCAAGCAGTCACCCACGACAGGGTTAGCAGGTGTCTCTGGGCAGATACGATAACCGCTTTCAAGCTGAGCTCTGGAGTCCCAGAGAGCGTTCCCTGGCTTGTCTACTGTTCACGGAATGAGGGACTGTCAGGCAAGTTCCTTAACCCGAGCCAGTTTCTTCTTCTGTAAAAGTGGAAAAACAGTAGCATGCTATTTCTTGGGTTTGTTCTAAAAATGAAATAAGACACTGCAGTTAAGCCCTGGGGACAAAGCCTGGTGTGGAGGGCAGGTCCACTGAATGCTCACATCCTTCCCAGCGAGGCGAGCCAGGCACAAGGATCAATCTGCAGCCCACACTCAAGAATTTCTGTTCTAAGGCTCTCCCTTTCCTCCCCAATCACATTGGAGGGGCTCCCCTGCCAGGAAAGGGACAAAACAAACTAGCCTCTGCCCCTGGCTTCCGTTTCGAGCCCATTAACTAGTTATATTTTAAGATGCAAACTATTATTAGCAACATTATTACCATTTCTATGCAATTACCTGCAAAATGGACAGCAGGGTCTGCTCAGTATTGAAGTGAAACAATCTTGGCATTCTCCCCCCTCCCCTTTGATCTTAAAACTCTCATTCATCACATCAAAGCCTCAGGTATGAGACTGTCTAGGCAGCAAAGGGGGTCCCTCAAGTGGCTTCTGGACCAGCCCAGCTCCACCCACCGCAGCAGCGAGAGGGGCCTAGAGGCTCTGTCTACTCCAAGTCCAGGAAAGAAAGGGGAACGTGCTCTTTGTGGCTTCCGATTTCATCTCAAGTAAAAATTCGTAATAAAAAGCAGATTCCAGGGGCGCCTGGGTGGCTCCGTGGGTTAAAGCCTCTGCCTTCGGCTCAGGTCATGATCCCAGGATCCTGGGATCGAGCCCCACGTCGGGCTCTCTGCTCAGCAGGGAGCCTGCTTCCCTCTCTCTCTCTCTCTGCCTACTTGTGATCTCTGTCTGTCAAATAAATAAAATCTTTAAAAAAAAAAAAAAAAGGCAGATTCCATTAAACCGAAGAGGAAAGGTGCTCAGCTCTGGGAGGAAAGACCAACAAGCAAAAGAACAGGAACAGCATCTGGCAATTCTCTTCTTAACTACTTTCAACAAGGTGCCCCTTCTAAAACAGGTGGAAGGAGAGCTCGCACCTCTGCACGGTCTAAAGGAAATCTTAAAATAGGCCATCTTAGAAATCTACAAGACACGCTCCTTGTTGCAAGTCAACACAGGCTAACTAATTAAAACACTAAAACTAAAATATTTACAGCTATGAAAAGTGAGGCCTAGAACTGTGTATGCCTTTAGAAAGGCAGAATCCAGGATCGGAGAATTAAAATTAAGTTGAAATAACAGTGCTGTATGTCTATAACCTAATAGTTCAAAACGTACTAGAAATACAAAGAAGAAAGCAAACTAACCCCTCATGTTAAAAACACTCTGTCATAGGTCATACGGTTTATATGCTCGCCTGCAAGTGTCCAGTGGCAAGACCATGGGGTGCCTGTCCCCTGGAGACGGAATCCCAGCCTTCTGGTTACCGCTGGGTAATAACACTGCAATCCCCAAACTATTTCTTGCCCGTAAACCTGCATGACAGCCCAGCACTCACATGCGCAAGGAAAGAGGATCAGAGGCCACTACCGAGTGGGCGCCACAAAGAAGGCTACCTGATGGCGTTCTGGTTCACAGGACACTCAATGCAGGCGTTCCGGAGACACCGGAAGCACTCCGTTATCAGCTGCAGGCTGGACGCCAGATGCTCCACCTGGGACGGGTCTCTGCAGGCCAGCTCCACGGCGTGGGAAGATTTCTTCAAGATGTCCAGGACTCTCTGGAAGATAGTCCTGGGTGCAGTTTCTCTGAAAAAAGGACGAAACTGTTACAAACCAGAGGAAAACAAATCTAATCACTGAATGTCCTATTCAGAAAGCTGCTTGCACTTACTTCCGTGGGCCGGTGGGCCAACCTGTCTTTTCTCACTCTGTAACTTACAACACAAAATCAAAGAGCTACAAACCGGGAGCGCTTAGCCAGGCACATTCTCAGAAACCTTTCCATGTGTTATTAAGACAAGTGAAACCAAGGGGAATTGAGTAACTTGCCCGTATCACTGGGCTAATAACGGGCAGAGCCCCATTTCCGGAAGAAGCCATCTGACGTGGTGGCCGCACCCCCTGCGGCAACCCAAATGCCCGTCTCAGGGGAGGGTCTGTGCTTAGGGATCCGTCCTTTAATCAAAACAGAATACCTACATTCTCTGTTCTAGAAAGAGAATCTAGCCACGTCCACCACCGCCCAACATGTACCAAAATACAATTTCGAGAAACACTATTCATTAAGCTGTCTGGGAGGCCAACCCGCTCACTGTCCATTTTCTAGATACAGAGAAGCCAGCAATGCAGCCGTATATACTGGATTGTACAGATGAGAGGGAGAGAGAAGGAAGGAGGGAGGGAGGGAAGGAAAGAAAGGAGATAAGGGAGGAAGGAGGGAGATAAAGAGGGAGAAACACACAGAGAAAGTGAGATAGTGAGAAGGGGGGAGGGGGAGGGGGAGAAGGGGGAGGAGGGGAGGGGGAGAGGGTAAGCAAGCAGTGAGCAAGCCAGTGAGGGCATCCTTCCACCTAGAACACATGCCCAGGGGAGAAAAAGAAACATGTGGCCAGTCCCCCGGGGCATCTCATTTCCCACATGCCTCTCCTCCCAGAAGCAAGGCCTGCACCGGCTATCACTACAGGGCTATGAAGGTAAGAAATTTTGTGCAACGTGGCTCAAAAATGTGAAGCCGCCTTCCTCGCTCCACCAATCTCCTGAAGCAGCAGCCCCTGTCTTAGAGAAGAGCGACTGCTGTTCCAGACAGCTGGGGAGCTCCTTGCCGAGGACTCTGACCACACGAATGCCCGCCTCTGGCCAGGTCGTGCAACCCCAGCACCCTCCAGCTCTTCCTCCCGCTGTGCCAGGTTATCAGGGAGCCCCCAGTCCACACGAACCGTGGACACCGAGCCACCCAAGTCACTGGGCCGGCTCAGGGGCTGGCAGAGCCCCTCCACGCATCTCCCCCCGCGCAGGGCAGGGCCCAGAGACATGCCCCTCCTTGAGCTTCAGGACCCCAAGTCCCTGTACTGCAACTGGCATGTTTTCAGCTCATGGACAGAGGACGTAAGTCACATTATTTGTCAGTGACTGGGTGACCAAATGAAACCGTAAAAGCCCAAGGGTACGGTACTCACCCCATCTCAGGGACTGTAAGAAACAATTACCCACAGAAGCCATTTTCAGTGACGATTTGCCATAAAGAAAATTCATGAACGCTCTCCAGACATCGTCAAGGAGTACTAAATACAGTGCAGACACTGACACGCTAAGAAAACACCAAAAAGAGTTTCAAACACGTCAAAGGATGCTGAGTGTGATCAGGATTTCTACAACAGAGAGTAAATCTCCTTATGTGCCCCCACTGCACAAGGTTTCGATGGCAGCCACCCTGGAATGTCACGGTCAAAGGAGTGACCGCCTGAATCACATGCAATCACGCCTCTTTTTCCTACTGAGATGGCATCATCGGCCCCAGGATGAAGAAGCCGACATGACCTCTCCCCACCCGTCCTTCGCAAGGTAACCTCACGCGGACACCACCTCGCTACCGTGAACGGTCTTCCCAGAAGCCATCACATCGAAAGCTTCGGACTCAAACTGTGGTAGATGGAAAAGCAAGATGGAAACAAAAACCACTGTTCTTGGGAAAACTGGAGGAATGATATTCCAACCATGCAACGATTAGTAAGTTCGAGAACCTATCCTATGAGTGACTCCCGAGGCTGCACAATAATTTGTCACATGTGCACCAGGCCTTTCTCCTTGGTTAGACTTTTAATCAAAAGAAAAATGTTTAGCTGAGCTAAGGCCAACAGCCATCTTCCTAAAACGACTGTTAACGGCTGCCAGAGAACCCTCACGGGAGCCCTCCCTCGGCACACGGCAATTCACGCTTGTGCCGTGAAGAGAAAATAAGATAATCTGGGACTGTGATCACTGTCGTTTGCTCTCCCCTGGCTGCGCACCCATGGATTCCTGAAAACACCAGGCATTTGCAAACCTCTCTGCTCCAACGCATGCCCTCCCCGCGAATGCGCCTTCTACACAACGCCCACCCAAGTGTCCGCCTGCAAAATCCTGCATCTCCTTACTGAAGCCTTTGGAAAACTCCCAGGGCCGGAGAAACTCTCCACTACTCCAGGTGGACCAGTATCCCAGTCAACGTCCCACTGTCACTCCACCCATAAGACGACTAATTAAGACTTAACCACATCAGATTATACTCACTTCTCTAGCACAGCTCTCCGGCTGGCCCATAAACCACCAGGAAACAGATCCTATCCTCTTTATTTCCATATCTCTAGGGCCCAGAACTGGCATTCACTAATTGTACTTACTCAAGCTGCCAACAGCAATGAGGCACCAATGCGCTCGGTGGCATCTGCCTGCCTCACGGATGTGCACTGAGCGCGCCCTGAGCAGGTGAGCAGGGGAGCTCACGCCCAGGGCTGCAGCAACGGGAGAAAGAGACCTATCCAGGCATCTGCCCGACTCTCCCATTCCTGTCAGGAAATCCATATATCCTGGCCTCCATATCTCCTTGATGCTTGGAAAAGGGTCATGTTTTCCAAAAGATGGTAGACGTCTTATGACTGATAGTTCACAAACATCAAATTTTTCCTTCTCTGCGGGTGACATAATGGATGACCCTAAAGGGGGAAATGTAACCCTACTGATAACCATACTATAAATTTCCGGAGAGCAAAGACTATCTGTTAGATGTCTCGCTCCCCTAGAAAGGGTAGAAGGAAAAAACCCGTTCTCTAGAGCGATACAATAAATGGTTGTAGACTTTACTCGCCACCGTTGTGTACAATACCTGATCAAAGTCCACAGGGTGGGGAAAGAGCTTTCATTCGCTACCAGCAAGAACTGGGGAAACACCCAACAGTCTTGTGTATACCTCTGTGCTCCTCGACAGCCTTGAAAGAAAGCTATTGGGTATAACAGATCCCAACAGCCCTAATGTACTCTGTCTTCAAGTTCTAAGTTTGCCGTCAAGGCACTGCGGCTAAAGACCTGAAATGATCAACGACAGACGGCACAACAGTAAAGAACCACTCCTGCACTACAAATGTGACCACTAATAACAGTAATTGCTGTCACTTCTGCTTTAACCAAACTAACACAAAATATTCAAAGACTTTAAAAAGCTTAGCTACTTTATCCACAGAAGGCAGAAAGTACTTAGGAGTACAATTAAAATTCAACTGTTAGACACTCCTATTAGATAGGAATGCATCCCCCGAAGACAACCCACAAATGAAATGTTACATTACAGAAACAAAACAAAAAGAAAAGGCTTTGAATTCTACAAAAGGTAGAATTTCATTTCCTTCAAGTCCGAACAGATCTGTAGGTTGAATCTTGGCAAGTCCCGTCTCAGTAAAATTAAAGAAATCTCCCCGTGACCGTATGTCAGAGATTAGATAGGCCCGCGGTCCCATGGGCACACACTTCTTCCAGTCAGTCACTCGTAAGGCTGGACCTCATCCTGAAAAGGAAGCCAAAGGCTCATCGGGGCCCAGGCCCAGCCCTGCCCTGATGAGATTTCCCTACTCCAGAAAAGAAGGATTCTTACACCTTGCAGCCAAGTTCCAAGATTAAGAATCACTGGCTGTTATTTAAAACCAAAACCCCCCCTCTCCCCACCCCCAACCCTGCTTACTGATCTGACCAGGCTGGACTGAACAAAATAAAACAGAAAATAAAAACATTTGCCCTTCCTGCCAGAAACAGCTGAGGGCAAAATTCTGAGGTTCATCTTTGCCAACCTGGGAGCTCTCCTCTTTCCCTCTTCTGTTCCATCTGGAACTCTCAAGCTGTCCCTGACGGCTCAGACCAATCCATTTATCTAGAAGAGGCCAGCAAGTAAACACTTGGGAATAGAGGGCCTGACAGGCTCAGTCCCCACTCCACAACACCGCCATCAGAGCAAAAGCAGCTGCAGACAACATCTGAGCGCACAAATATGGCTGAGTGCTGACGAAGCTCTCCTTGGGGACACTGACATTTAAAGTTCATGCAGCTTTCTTGTGCCCCAAAGTTTACTTTTTCCAACCACTTAAAAATGTAAAAACTACTCACAGACCATTTAGAAGGAAAAAAAAAAAAAAAAGGAAAAGACAGACACGGACATTCTTAAAAGGTGGCAGGGCCCCACCGTGGCCCCCGGATCAGTCTGGCACCCCTGCTTTAAAGTTTTTTTTGTTTGTTTTTTAAAGATTTTATTTATTTATCTGACAGACAGAGATCACAAGCAGGCAGAGAGGCAGGCAGAGAGAGAGAGAGAGAGAGGAGGAAGCAGGCTGGCTCCCCGCTGAGCCCGATGCGGGACTCGATCCCAGGCTCCTGGGATCATGACCTGAGCCGAAGGCAGAGGCTTTAACCCACTGAGCCAACCAGGCGCCCCTGGCACCCCTGCTTTAAAGAGTCCACACACATCAGCCCTCCCACCCCCCAAAATGACACGCTTCCCCCTTTCCCACTGTCCTCACGATAGTCAAAATTTACCTCTCGTCCAAATCAGACTGCAAATGTACAACGCCGAGTGAAAGAAGCCAAGAAAAGGTGCAACCGGCAGGCAGGTGGAAAAGTAAACCACTGGCTGGCGTGTCCAGGAGCAGCACTGCCTTCAAAGAAACCCGACGGGTGACAGCGTGGCCACGGGCTCTGCGGGGGGTCAGAGGGAGGAAGGCACCCCAGATGCATCTAGGACTGCATGTCAGCCACAGCTATAAAGCTTTGGAAAAAAATATATGGAG